AATTAGGTTCAAATAGCATTGCTCATTATAATTTGTGCAAAATATAGTAATGCTTCCTTTTTGTCATTGTGGTCCTCATTCTTTGCATTGTGTCATTGTGGTCCTCAGCTCTATTTGCATTCAGTTGTTTTTCTCCTCCTATTTCTAGGTTTTTTTTACGATTAACCAAGAATCCAAATTTCCTCCATTGCAAGTTCATTCAATTTCACTCAATAATTGAATGAAAGTGTATTGAAGAGTATCTTAATACATCAACCTGTGACATAGATGTCGAACGAAGACCAACCGATCTTCAGGGATCATTCAATGAAGAATTCATTTAAAAATTACAATTTTTCATATATTAATAGATGCAAATGATATTGTAGGGATCATTCAGTGAAGCAAAAGTAGACTCCTTCAACTTACCTTTATATTTTCCACCCATTGAGGAATTGGAGGCATCGATAGAGGCAAACACAAGCTTCAGCATAGAGAGAATGGAGATCCTGAACAACCCTCCGAAACATGTCGCCATGCCTAGTGTCAGACATCGCACACTGTTCTTCAGGGCTTGCTTCGAGGGACTTTTGGAGAATCATTTCGGAAGTCATATCATGGATGAACTGTTCGAACGTTATTCCAAGAAAGTTGCCGAGTCTTCCTTCACCATGAATCCAGACAATGATAAATCCATTTTTATGTTAGTCCTCCTTAAGCGTAAAAGCGAGTCCTCACAGAATGATTCACCCTAGTGATCATAAGGGTCGGTTTTAAAATGTTTATTTAAGGGTTAATAATACTTTTGGTCTTTAACGTATGTATTTTTTTTTAGTTTAGTTTTCATTGTATCAATTTTATCTTTAAAGTGACACAAATTAAACACTTCAAGGACAAAGTTGATAAAATTGATACAATAAGAATTAAAATAACAAAAAATAGATATTTTAGGGATCAAAAATAATATTAACTCTTTATATAACTTCAAGTTGTCTCATTTTAGTTTCTCAGACTATGTAAGACGTAGTAATCAACTCCTGTTCTATTTAAATGTGAAATCATTGTGCTGTGCATGAACAACTTAGGATTGGTTGATATTTTTCATGATAGTATCATGAGGTATATATCACTCACAAAATATTAAATATACTCAATTAATAATTGTCACCTATTCTTGTCAGAATTTCTTTTCAAAAGGCCAACTTGTATTTCTTACAAGCTGTTTTTTTGGCAACCTCTCATTGGGTGTCCACACCACATGATAGTAGTGACAAAAACCCATACAAAATTTTATCCACTCTTAGGATCAAGCTACAAAAATTTGAGGCATTTAGGATCAATCCTAACATCTGATATGTAATGTATGAAATGCGTTATTCGAAATGAAAGGCATTATTTCAAATGACATTTTGAACGATGATAGTGTCATTTGGAACAACATCTTCTAAAAATGACTAGGTTTGGAAAATAAGTTTGAAAATAGTTGATTTTAAAAAATAAGTTAGGGTAGGCATGGCTTTGGTGAATAACTCCAACACAGTGGGCACGTACATAATTGCAATTTAGCACACATAATCATGATAATATGTACGCAATGCATAATCGGGTCTCACATCTACCTCTACACCTCTTTACACACATATAGTTTTTCTCTCTCCTAACTATTGTACCTCCCGAAGTTAACCATTACTCTTTTCCCCGACCACAGTGCCATTTTCTAAAGTGGAGTAAGTCACGTGGACCGAATTACTATATATATATATGTGTGTTGACTCAATATTTATATTACTGTCATTGATTATTTTATTTACTGTGAATTATTTATACTCTGTTACACACTCGACTGTTGATCTTGCACAAGACTATTTTGTGCATCATTAGTGTATATGTGATTGTGTGAATATATTTATTTAATGTTACTAATTTTAATTGTATATTTATAAAAACACAATAACGGACAAGATTAGTATAATTTTTATCTAATGTTATCTAACGATACAAAAATCCATTCAAAAAAAAATTGCCCAAAAACATCTTTGTTGGACGACCTCAACGCTAAATAACAAATATTGATTGATTGTAATTTTGTCAATTCAATTTTAATACTATAGAATAATTTCTAAATTAAATAACCGATTAGATTAAATAAATATTATCTAACTTTATGCTGTGTATTGTCAAATATTAGATAAAATTACGTATTATGTAAGACTGGATTATTTTATCTAATTTATCTATTTTTAATATGCAATCAAACAAGCCCTAAGTATATAATATACAAATAAAATAAAATAAAAATTACACGTACAACATTCTCACTGATTGAATAAAAGAAGTGGACCCTATAATTGTTTTGCATGAAACGAGTAATCCAACTATTTTCTACCTATCGCAAATAAGACACGCATAGAGTTTCTATATTTTTGCTTTTTTTTTTTATTTTGTTATTTTCACAATCAATCATAAATAAATCAAAACGAAATCTACGGCTCGTAAAGATTTGATTTTTAGTATCATCCAGTGGCTAATAATTGAAGGTTAGAGTGTCCTTCTCAAAATTATTGTCCTTCTCGACAATTTTTTGGTTGTGTCAAGTCTAAGACAATTAATTTGGGTGCAACGATCTTGGCACCCACACCATGTACAAAGGGTATATATATTTATAATTTTTTAGGTTCAATATGCTAATCTAATGATGTGTCAAGTAATACGATGTTCATAAAAATTTCAACAACAATAACTACAGATTTTACTATTAAACCATGTCAACTATCGTATCATTGTATCCAAAATTCAAATCAAATGTTTAGATCCGAATAGCCTCAACTCAATGAATAATAACCCGTACAAGAACATGATTATAATCAATACACACTATAAAAAGTTCAAAATTTATGATGTGGCACAGTTATGATTGTCAGATTTCTATTAGTTGTAAAAAGAACTGGCTAATTGTTTGGACATAAGAAAATTATCTGTCAATGGAGATATTTTCGTAGATTTTGAGCAACATTAATTTAATAATCCATGTTAATTTGGTGTAAGAAATTTGATAAAAGAATAATTTGACTGAGCCTAGAAAGAGAACAAATCAATCCTTGTCAATTGAGAGTCAGTGGCGGGCCTTATGGACTCTGAATTGAGGGTTTTTTTTTAATTTTTTTTTCGTCTGTTGATTAGATAGTTTTTTGAGTTGAAACACACTTATTTATAGAGCAATGTGGATGCCTCAACTCCAACACAGCTTGAAGCACCATTTGAGGCTACTGTTCCTCTCCTTGATTAAACCATTAAAAACATGTACTCTTTTGCTTCCGTTTCTTCCTTTCCTTCTCTCCCTCCTACTTCCCTTGCCATCGGCCGCCATGTCTTGCCATATCCGGTGGAGGAACATGGCATTGCTCACTATACCATGTTACATGGGCCAAGACAATCGAGATTGAGCCACCCACATCATGTGATTGGTGTAGAGTGGTGTGATCTCCTATCACCACACGCCAATACATCATTAGGACGATCCATTCGTGTTAGTATCAATATTGACCAAGACCTTAAACCATGCATGGAAGATGAAAGAACAATCAAATTGCCAAAATCGCATGCCATGAATGGAGGAGATGAAAATTATAGTTATGGTCAAAACTCATCTTATCAGGTAATATTTGTTTTTTATTTTAATTTTCACTATAATTATCTCTCATTCGAAAGGGTGGGGTGGAATAGGGAGTGCAAGTTTACATAGGCCCCCAAGTAAGTACTAACCAATTAGTTGCAGCGGTATGGTACAAGGCAATCGGGACAAAAAAAATGATAGACAGAATAAAATATTGAGCATAGAATGAAATTTAAAAATCATAAAACTGTATCCGAACGAGTTATGATGGCATAGATGGCTCAGCCATCTACAACGTCTTGAGTCAAGCACGAATCTCACTTGACCCATAATTTAGACCGAATATTAAACGTAACATATTCAGTCCAATACAACTAGATATCCACAAGTGATAGACATGCACTTAATGTATGCTTACTAACAACCAGGATTGACTTTGTGGGACGGCTCAGGGAAAACATAAATTCAGTATCTTTCTTCTTTTTAAATGAACACACTTGTGATTAGATAGCTACTACGAAAAAGCCAGCTCTTCAATTTTTCTTTAGTGCTGGTAAAAGTTTTAGATTTACACAATATTTTTTAGATTTAATTAGGGTAATTTGGTATTTTAATTTAGTCGTTTAAACGACTAAATAAAATTATAATAAAAAATTTAATTGTATACTAATTACAATTTTTTTTTAACAAAAATTAATTTTTTTTAATTTTATTTCAATAAAAGATACAATAGAAAATGAATTTTAGTTGTAAAATTTAAAATATTTTATATTTTATATTTGATTGGAGTATTTTTGGCATAAGTATAATATTTTAAACTTAAAATATCTAAGTATTATATACCCACAAACTTTAAAAAGTTTAAGTGTAATTTATTAACGAATATATTTATAATAGTGTCTAAGTGTTATACGCATACAAATCTCAGGGGTCTGTATATAATATTTCAAATTTCAGAAGATCTGAATAATTAAATGACAAATCTCGCGAGGTTTGGGGTAATTCTCTCTGGGATCTAATTGGCACTCGTAAATTATTTAGTGAATCCGACTATTATGGACCTAATTTTTTTTTTTTCGGAGGGGGGCAGTGGATGCTGCAAAGGAACTCATCAACGAAGGAGTTGCATCCAAACTTGACCTGAAACTACTTTCTTCATCTTCCACCATAAACCCATTTCGCATAGCAGATTTTGGTTGTTCCACAGGACCCAATACGCTTCTAGCAATGCAGATCATAGTTGAAGCAGAGGAGCAAAAATTCAAATCAGAAAAACCAACAACCAACTCAGGTTTTCTTCAGTGACCAGGTTTTGAATGATTTCAACACCCTTTTTCAATCTCTCCCACCGGAAAGACGATACCATGCTACCGGAGTAGCCGACTCTTTCTACGACCGGTTATTCCCAATGGCCTCTCTTCACTTTGCTTTCTCATCTTTTTCACTGTCTTGGATCTCTAATTTGCCGGAGGAGATTCTGGACAGTAAGTCTCCGACGTGGAATAAGGGAATGATTCACTATACAGGAGGTAGCAAAGAAGTTTATGTGGCTTATGCAGTTCAATTTGCCAAAGATTTGGAGACATTCTTGAATGCAAGGGCAGAAGAACTTGTGGGTGGAGGGCTGATGGCTCTTCTGATTTCTACTGTCCCTAATGTTATGAACTCTTCTGAAACTACAACTGAGTCAGAGATTGATCCTCTTGGATCTTGCCTCATGGTAAGAAATGCTGACAAATTATAATTTTGTTGACTTTTATGTTTTTCAATTGTTAACACATATAACTTTTTCAAGATTGTACGCATATGACCGGCAATGGTTGTCTCTTGCATTAGCCTGTCCTAAATTACACCATTCAGAATGACCAACATCAATATTTAATGGACTATGCTAGATTTATGAAAAAAGGTGAAAAGACGATGATCAGATTATGTGACTCTAATATATTGGTATTTTTATTTTCCTTCTAACAAATTTAAAATTCAAATTTTACCAATTTTGCTCAATATGTTTATGTCAAACTTTTGAATTCTTTTTTTGTCCCCTTTTATAAAATTCTTTTATGTGTATATATATATATATATATATATATATTTTTTTAGCGTTGGATCTTGTATGGACAACAAAGTAAATCAATTCGGTATTGTTTAAATGTCCAAAAGCTAGAGCAGGAAAATAGATTCTTTGTTGCAGTTATTCCTCGAAACATCTTTTTCCCACGAAATGACGTTGGTTAACTTCAACACATGTGCAATGATGGTTCCTGTGCTTTGAACCCACTGCAGTTGGTCATTTTTCATTTTTTTTATGTGATGTCTTTTTTTTTTTTTTTAAGTAAATTATCGTCCTCCTCTTTTCAATTCTAATAAAGAGCTCCTTCAATATTACTCGTAGACCTTGATTTCAGATCTCAACTCCCCGTGTCAGTATCTCGAGAAAATTTATGCAAAGGATAATGGATCCCACCAAGTCCTCTTTCTTTCTTGGCGTCAATTACCCAACAGACATAAATCTCATTGCGCAATGAAGACAACCGTTACAACGGAAGGGCGAGAATCTCGCCCTAGATCAAGCAAAGCCCAGGACTAATTATAAATAGGAGGCAAGACCCTCGAGAGTGGGGGAGATAGTCATTGTAGTCTTACAAAATACTCTTTGCAAACAACACACAATTATTAATAGATTCAGGAGCAAGAAATTCCCTTAAGAATGGATTAGTTAAGCTCTCGAGCTAGTGAACTATAAATATTATGTGTAATCATCCATTAATCCCAAAAGAACCTACTCCTTAGAGCCTTGGAGCTCGAACTGAATTGTTCAGTGCACCTTATATTCATACCTCTGTTCAGTCACGTTATTAACATCATTAGTTGACACCGTCTGTGTGAACAACTGTTTCAGTTAAAATATATATATATATACTGATTTTCTTCAGTAATTTATGGTTTTTACATGCAACATGAGCATAGGACAAGTGAATCTTCCTCAATTACAGAACAAACGAGAAGTTACAATTGGGAGGCATCAAGAAAATCCCTATGTTTTTTTGCTTACACCGAAAGTCGATCCCCCTATAGTTAATCCCGCACCAAACAACGAATTGGAGGTCCTTCGCCTAGCCAATCAACGTCTCCTCCAACAGAAGGAGGAGTTGCTGAATATCTTTCAACATCCACAAAGAGCGTAGCCAGCCCTAGACGATCCCCCTCAGAGGGAACGACAGCACAACAACCCCCTAAAAGATATCACCGAGGGACATGAACGCCGCCAAACTGTGGGCAATACTCATCGTCGAATTCGTAGGAATAAAGATGACGAGAAAGTGCAAAGTCAAAACAGGGAAGCTCGTAATAATTAATGAATTTTCTTATATTTTAGCTGGAAGGGAAAGAACAATATTGGTAACAATGATTTAAAGACATTCAATAAGAACTCAGCCACATGAAAGAGGCTGTTAAAAGAAAAACTCTAGTGACTATAGATGTCTTAGTTCAACAGACTGAGTCTCCATTTACCGCACAGATGCTGCACTTTTCACTTTCACCTAAATTCAGAATGCCCTAAATGGAGGCCTTCGATGGAACAAAAGATCTCATAGATCACCTCAATACCTACAAGAATCAAATGGAGCTACATGGGTACTAGGACCCGATACGATGTCAGGCCTTCGCCATCACTTTTGAAAGGTTCTGTCAAAGAGCTCTCCATCTCCTCTGTATCTCACTTCATATGAGTTTGAACTTATCAAAAACCGAGTTATCACCTGTTGAATTAGAAACAGGGACCCAATGAAAGCCTGCAGAGCTATGTTCAAAATTTCAACTCAGAATCCCTGAAAATGGATGTCTCTGACGAGAAATTCGCCATCACTGTCATTATTGTTGAGTTAGGAATCCAGTCAAAGGACCTGATATTATCTATCTCCAAAAATTCGCAAGCCAGTATGGCAGAAATCCTCGCCAAGGCAAAAAAGTACATCAACGGCGAGGAAGCACTCCTCTCCAAGGTAGGGAACACATCCACGCACAAGGAGAAAGAGAAGAAAAGAAGAGAGACCGAACTCCCAGAAAGAAAAGAAGTAGAGATAGATCTTCATAGAGAGACAGGGATCGCTCTCCAAAAAGGAAAGGAGAGGTCAGAGACCGTCTTGGTCCACCACCGTAGGAATTGTAGCCAAGATTTGCACCTTGGCAGTACACTGCCTTCACAACCATAGTGTCTCAAGTCCTTTATGAGATACATAACGAAAAATTCTTGAGGTGGCCACCTCGAATAAAGGCAGATCCCGCAAAAAGGGACGCAACAAAATACTGTGAATACCACAGGGACCACATCCATCTTACTGATGATTGTATCCAATTGAAGAAGAAAATCAAGTTCTTGATCCAATATGCGCAACATCAAAAACCTCTACGAGATATCAGAGTGATATCTGAAGGATTCGCTGGAGGCGGGGAGTTCAGCTCAGCCAAGAAGGCTCACATGCGCAAAGTCAGAACTGAGGAGATGTTGGAAGTACACACTGTGTCCAAAGCACCTCAGCTGAACATGGACATCACTTTCTCGAATGCAGACCTAGAGGGCTACCAACATCCCCACGATGACCCCTTGGTAGTAAGGGTCATCATTGCTAACAAAACCATCCATCGAGTCCTGATTGACAATGGGAGCGCTGCTAACATCGTCTTTGCATCTGCCTTCAACAAGAAAAATATAAGCAGAGACAAACTTGAGTCAGTAAGGACTCACTTACTGAGATTCTCAAGAGAAGAATTCAATCCTTAGCGGGACCAATGGTACATAAGGGTGCACAAAATACGTTAGTGAATCCTTTTATCATTATAAAAATCAAACAACGAATGATAGGATACATAACAATGGTATTGAAATGACCCGTTAAAAGTATAGGAGTAAATGACTTGCCAGCTAATACAAAATCTCAGAGCCCATAATCGTCACGTAACTAACGCCTCCAACAGCTGGATATCCTTGCTATATCTCTAGGATCAATGCTGCTGTCACTTATCTCATTATTAGAATATCAGTTACCTTATTCTTAGGATATTTGAATTTTATTCTATTAATACTTTCTCCTTATGTTGTCTATATAAACACTCAATCACATAATACAAAAAGTCCTTTTATCATTTTAATTCTTGATCTTGTCAAAATCTTTATGGTATCAGAGCATCACACTCCACGAGCACTTAGATCTACCTCTCATTCTCATGGCTGAAACCACTCAAACAAATTCTGCTTCTGCTTCTGCCTCTGCTGTGACTACCCCTCAAACTCGTGCCATTAAACTATTTGTCTTGGCATGCTCAGTTCAACACTCTCCTCATTGGATACAATCTAATGTG